TGGCCGGGTACGCAACCGATTGAGTTTACTTGCACAATAGTTCGACTGACTTGATAAGTAACCAAAACAAAGATGATTATGATAAGATGCAGAAGGTGTACGAAAACTGTCATCTCAGACATGACATTCAAAAAACATTTTCCAAATGTTATACATTATATATACATACACATTCTGATAAAGATCGTTTATTATTGTTTCTCTTCTCGAACAATAAAATACGCGTTGGCGTTCCTTAACAATAAAAACTAAAATTTATGCCTACATTTTAAGGACGAAGATATCGAGTTTTGCAACGGAAAGGTAACTGAAAAGAAAACTTGTTAGTAAAATATGGGATCAATAAATCCCGGGATTTATTTGTTAATGTCGTCCTCTACTACTATACTAAACTATTATATTGTTTTTAGAAAGCACCTCAACCCTGACATACTTCCAACCTTTCGTTTATATTGATTATTTAATGTATTTACGAATTGCGACAATAGACAAAGCCCGAATATCGTGAATTATTCAAAGATTTCATTTTGATGGAGAAAAATACCGTTCAAACACAATATTACTTAGAAATGTTCTATGTCGAAAGCAACAAATTTTCATTGGTTTGCCGCTTTTAGATCAAGTCGTACGAAAAGTAATTACAGTGATCACGTGGGACACTCAAAATAGATAAAAATAGAAGTGTAGTTACAAATAATTGCACTGTTTCACTGGACTGGTACGCACAGACATAACACACCGTATTCTCAAGGCCTGACTCCTAACGACTACTACCTCAAATTGCTAGGCTAGAGGAAAATATTCGAATCAAATGACAAGGCCATTGTCGAAGCTGAAACATATTTTGAATACCTTGAAAAATCCCTCTCTCTCTCTCTCGCGCGCGCGCGCGCGCGCGCTATAAACAAGGCATCAAAATGTTAGAGAAACATTGCAGTGATTGCATTCCTCTCGAAGGAGGCTATGCTGATGAATGAAATCGAGTTCTGCAGAAAAGAAATGTGGACTTCTTACATAGTCCGGGGATTTATTGACCGACGCATTATATAATATGAAAAATGCCTTAGGATATATAACTTTGGGCTTTAACTCCTTCTTTTTCTCCCTCCCTCTCTCTCTCTCTCTCTCTCTCTCTCTCTCTCTGTCTGTCTATCTATCTATCTATATCTCTGTTTCTCTTTTTCGCATCAGTACCAACCAAAATTCATTAACTTTGCTGCAAACGTTGGTTTTACGTATACGGTTAACGAAAGAGGAAGAGAGGTGCAACATGCTTGGTAATACCTTAAAACGACCTTTAACCGCTCATAAGAGCCTACAATTAAGTATTTAAGAGTCCCTGGAAACCGCCCATTTACGTAGTTGCAATGTCTGCGATTTTTTAATCGTTATAAGCTGCAACTTATATGTTACGCAGTGTATGAGATCCAATACTCATCAATTCATATATGCATTCCTTTCGTTAGAAACTGAAATAATAAACCTACACTTGCACTTGTAGTATCTAATCTTTATTAGCGGATAAGCCTTAGATTACTGCTGTCATTTTCGATGTAATTTTGTGTTTTTTTTTTTGCCCAAGAAGCATTCAAGGCTTTCTATGGGTTGGTACGCTTTTGTTTACCGTCTACTTAAGACTCATTTAAAACCATCAGGGAAGGGTACGAAATGCTCTTAAAATTTTCCCCTAATTAGTGCGAGAAGGCAGTAATCGAGACACGCTTCCAAGCGGAACTTTTCTCCCTTTTTCTATCGTCTGTCGTAAGAAACAATTCGAAATTAAAGTAGTTTCCGTTTGTTAGGACTCATCTCGAAGCGAGGCCTTTCCACTAGTTTTCATATTGATTTCGTAAAAGCCAGAAAATTAGTTTTTAAGAGTGATCGGAAAATATCGGAACTTAATAATTGACTTTGTCTAGAGGAAATTCTTAGTAAGACCTAGAAGACCTTTTAAATTTATTTTCAAATTCTCGTATAAATGTGAAAAAAATTCTCATTTTTATGCAGTTAGGTCCGCATTACCTTTGCATAATATATTTATATATCTATATGTATATATATACACAATATATCGCCAACGAATCTCACCTTCAATTACAAATGAATACCCCGCGCTAATAAATTGTGGAGGTTTTTTTCGTTCAGCATCATGAAAAATTTCTCGTTTTCTCTCTGGCTTTATATTTATAAAATATATATATATATATATATATATATATATATGCATATATAATACATTCACACTTCTATGAATGTATAAGTATACGTGCAAAACGGTATCATCACCCATAACCGTGTGAATAGAATAGACTGACTATCCAGTCATTGTATAAACGATTCGTAAAATTTTCGCTTCGTTAGTAGGTTCGTTCATTCGTTCGTTCCTCTATATGTCTGTTCAATGAATCGTTTAGTTGGATGGTCGGTCGGAGAAGGGGACTTTGCATTATGTACACATTGAGGTTCTGAGTTCAACAAATTTTTATGATACCATACCCACCCAGGCAAGTATCGAGGCAGCTGTCGTTTATATATAAATGGTACATGTATTCATATATATATATATATATATATGTATGCTTTCTGTTATAATCGCTTTTGCACACACAAACACACCGCTTTTGAACATATAGAAATTACCAGATACAGAAAAATGTCTGGCCGCATGTATAGTTTCATAAAATTTCGGGTTGTTTAGTATATATATATATATATATATATATATATATATGTGTATATGTAGCTTGTTATTTCTGTTGTTATTGTTGTTGCTGCGACCATGCTAGGGTTTCATTTTATTTATTTCATTTTTTGTTGTTGTTTTCGTTTCTGCTGCTAGTATTGTTGTTGTTGTTGTTGTTGTCGTTTTTATTATTATTATAGGAAATTCGACCTCTTTTTCTCTGATTATTATCGATCGATATTTTAAGAACGCAACAACAACCAATGTACGACACGACATTAACAACATTTAGGTATAACACGCCTTAGTTTAATGACTTGACTCATTTTTCGGTGAGGTTCTATATACACCAATTTGAAACCCACACATACTAAAGCAAATACTTGCACATATATAAACATGCACACATGCACAAGACCGAAAACATTGGAAAAGAAGAAGTCTTAGTCTTAGTGCCAAGGGTTTGGCTTGGCAGTCAGTTCAGTTCAGTTTAGTTAAGTTGAACAAAACTCGCAAATCGTGCGAAAGATTTTCTTTCGTACAATACGCTATAGTGCTATAGTATCATATTTGAGTCGTCAGGCAGCAAGGCAGGCAGGCAAGTAAGCAAAGCAATAAGATTAACCCACCAGAGGCATCATATAACTCTGTGCATAGACGAAATGTAAGTCAGTCAGTCAGCCAGTCATCCAGACAGCCAGACAGACGGTCGGGTTGCCGGGCTGCCGGGCAGCCAATGACAGTATACCCCCGACAGAGAAGCAACAACAGCAAAAATAGCTATAGCGCGCAGCAAAACGCAGCACAATCAGTTACAGAGAAACAAACTCACACAATCAGTTGGAACCAACTAAATACCAGAGTATTTGTTACTATGTATGAATGTATGCGTTTGTGTTTTTGTGCCTGCATGATTGTATATGTGCGATTATATTCAACATCAACAATCTACCCGCTTCCCATACCTATTAGCCAGCACTCGTACATATTTGCTTTCTACCACTGTCGACGTTTTGAGTACGTTCAGACGGTCGTTAAGTAAGTCATTTTGACGTTTAGTCGTATTGGCACTACGTCATTGTTATCTCTGTGTTTGTGCGCTTAGCAAATCTTCTCCATTGAACGTCTGTCGAGTGGTTGTTTTTCTTTTTTCTTTTCTTTTTTTTCTTGGTTTAGCTCGGTTCGGTTGGCCTGGCATGTTTGGATTATTTCCTCCACACACAGCCAGAGCACAGCCAGCAATATTAGTAGTACTACGATTGCCATCATCATGCTATAGTTGGCTGTTATTGTTTTTGTTGTAGTCGCTGAGGTTGTTATTGCTGCTATTGCTGTTATTATTGCTTTTGTTGTTGTTATTGTTGTTGTTGTTGTTATCGTTGTTGTTGTTGTTGTTGTTGTTGAGTATATATGGCAGAGTTTTATATCGTCGTCGTTTGTGCTGTGTACGTTTTTAGATTGTATATACAGTTTTCTGGGTCTTGGCTCGTCAATGTTTGTTTCATTTCGTGTTGAGCAGTTGTACGAGACGTTCGTTTGCTAAATATTATCGGTTGTCGTTCAGCGGTGATAACGTACATATTTAAACAAAAAATCGGGGCTTCACTATAGACCTCTCGAACACACATAAACACTTATATATACACAAATAATAAATAATTTACATACGCTGGTTGATGGTGTTCAACGTAGCACCTACACCGCACACATATATATATATATATATATATATATATATATATAGATAGATATATGTACATATACACAAACACACGCGTGGCCAGTACTCAATACTATGTATGTATGGATGAATGAATGAATGAATGAATGAGTGACGGCCAGTATTTATAAGTGTTGTTGTATCGAGCAAAACAAAACACAAAAAAGAAAGTGAAACAAAACAACGTAAAAAGAAAAAAAATTTAACGACAAAAAGAAAAATATATGTATACAATACAAAGCTGCGCGGCCAATGCAAAACCGTGTATATGAACGTATGATTAAAACATCATCACTATTATCGTTGTCGTCATCATCATCATCATCATCATCAACAACATCAGCGTCATCGTCGTCAACAACGGCAAATATAAACAAATAAACAAACGGGGTCTTGAGATTCATGTACTAGTGCGTGTGTGTTATGCACTTGTAAATGCATGCATATGTACTAACATTTACACAAACAATACATTAAGGTATGTATGCAATTGTTATACGTACATACATACATACATACATACGTATAAATATATATATATATATATATATATATATATATATATAGATATAGATATAGATATATGCATATATACAATTATTTTCACATGTGCTTATCTGACTAGTTGATGACGGTGTTTACAATTGTTTTTGTACTCAACTATTAAAAAAAGGCATGTGTTTAAGTTGAGTTTTTCATTTTTAGTTTTTTTCTTTTTCTTCTCTTCGTTTATATACATTTTGTGTGTGACATTTATATTCCAAGAAAACAGATGGTTTCAGTCAAATTTATAAGAATATCATGAAAGAGATAAATGTCGAATTATCTAAAATCGGAATTTTTTTTTTTTCTTCGGCCAACGTGACTTTTAATAACAAACCGAACAATTTAAATAAATGTAAAATAATCAGCTACCTATATAGAGGCATATTAAAGAAGTGAGAAAAACCGAAAGATACTAACGACAGTAACAAATGAGAAAAAGATTATCTTTGTGGCAAAAAAGCAAAAAAAAAACAAAGTTAAGCATGCAAGCCGCACTCAATTTCCTTTTTATTCAAAACTGATCATTATGCAAACAAAGGTATAAGTTGAGGCTTGTCATTCCGTTCGCAATAAAGCGGTCCTTATAATCGCAAAAATTAATACCTACCCACTCTATAGGAATGCTTAGTGCAGAAAACATTTCGTGCCGGAACTTAATTATGTCGCCAACGAGGGCAAATCTAGCGTATAAGTTATGCATATAGAGCATAATATGCGAAAGGCATGTAGAAAGCCAACAAAAGCGGAGAATTACTGAGAACGAACATGGCGACGAATGAGTTACTAATACATGAATCATTCATTACATCAAACAATGGATTACTTAAGCCAACGAAAACCAGAAATGACGGGAGTCATCAGCAATCTAACAATTATGAGAAACGAACAAGGGCACATTTGCGGCTGTGAAAGGCCACCTATATACCGGATAGTCTTCTCATTCTCGACCCATTCATAAACAATTAAGTTACGAGAGACGAGAAATTTATTTTTTATATCAGTTATATAAAAATTATACGATAAAGACCTATTACGGGTATAAGGACATACATGCGTACATTGAAACTTAAAAATGAATCAGTTGCGTGAATTGTTCCAATAAATGATATCTAAATGGTATGAATTGTTTTTTTGGCTTTTATTAAGCCAGCGAATAAATCGTGATCACTTGCGACGATTAGGAACAAATTCCTTCATCTAATTTCTGAATCCGCGAGATACTTCCAAACTCATTAGAGTGAGTATGCGAATCAGCCTCAAGTTTTCCTCATATTCATCCTTCAACTATTCAAGTTTTTTTTTTTTACTCTTTTTTTAATATCACTTGGCGATAGGACGAGAGTAGGGAAACGTGTTAATGTGACACTTATATAGAGAACTTGTCTTAGGAACCATAGCAAAGATAATTAAATTTTCACATAAAGCTCTCTTCTTGTTGTAACATTATATATACATAATAAGAAAAAAGTTGCCTTCACCTTGATTCAGTAGTATTCAGTACGCAACGCCCAAAAGAAAAGAAACAGATCCATTCGCTAGATAAGTTAATTGGTCCTTGTATCAGTTGATACAGTATATCGTAGGTACTTCTACTTCTACTTTTTGCATATCATAAATCATCTAATATATGTGTATATATATATTTATATATGTATTTTCTTGTAAGGGAAAATCGATGATGATGTCAGCTCAATTAAAAACTAGGGACACATTTTTAACATGGTCAACGACTTAGGTAACATAGTTAAGATAAAAACGAAATGAGAAAAATGGCAAGTGATGGCCACAGCTAGGTTAGTGGCCAGGCTTATAGGCCCATTTGATTTATTGTTGCCGTTACGTTTACTAAAAATCTCTAATATAAATTAACGATCTACCTACGTAAGACGATTTAGTTTCGCGTTTAGCGTAAACCTGCTCTGAAAAACCCAGGTACAAAGGAGGCTTTGAAATTTCAAAATCCGATTACCTGGTAATACCTTTCCTTTGTTTAAATCTATAATCGCGAATCTTTACGATACGCATGTATATATGGATATATTGCGTATTATTATGTAGTAAAATTCATATCGTGGCTGATACTCTTTTTTTTCTTTTTTTTTTTTTATGAAAGTAAAGTATATATGCCAATCTATACCGTTTACCTAGATTACCGGAAATTTACTTTTCATTTTACAGCCATAATATAAGTAACTTTCTCTATTGTAGTAGTAGTTATCCATTTTATTGTTTAAGACTCGAAAATTTTTCAAATTATTAGTATAAAAACTATGGATTTACACAATACAAGTATGCGCGCACTCACACAAACTCATTCACGCACGCACGCACGCACGCACGCACGCACGCATATACCGCAGCGAAAGAGACTCGCATATAGAATTGCTTAAATCCCTGTAAAATGAAAACGATTAAAAAAAAAAAATTATGGCAAAAACATCTGAAAACAATAAAAACAATATCGCTTAAAAGCCTCCAGATATTGCGATATTTTGAGAAAAATCATATAAATACATATTCTGCTGCTAGAGGCGACGAAAGGCAATTGTTTAACGGCAAAGTGTCCGAGTTTACCTGATCATATCTAAACTGTATATCAATATGTTTATAAGTATGTGTAAAGAATTGAGTAAAGGAATTAAGTTTGAAATAAATTAAATCCAAAATTGCTAAGGCGCTTGGAAATAGTTGATGAGACGAATTGAGCAAAACCAGTTTATAGATTTTTTTCAGTTTATGTTTTTTAAATTTTATATTCAGCACAACTTTGGACGACAACCCACGGATTTCTAAGGTGTGCATCTATATATGTATGTAGTTCAAGAGTATCTTTGCATGAGTATATATATACGTGCACACATCCAAAATGGGCATGGATAACTGATTGATTAAAATGATGATATATATATATATATATATATATATATATATATATATATCCATACAAAAATACATAGATATATTTATATGCATATACATAAAGCGGATGCTTCGATATTATTCATTCATTTACTGATTATTCGCTAAAAAACCTGAATCAGAGCACCAACATTCCAATGAGTCAGAACCGATTACGAAAACAATCTATATAAGTCAAGCATAGTGAAGAAATTTTTTTTAGCTAAAATCAATAAATTTTTTTTCCTTGTTTTTTTTTTTTTTTTTTTTTTTTTTTTATTATAGAGAACACCTTCTCCTTATTTTACCCAAGCATTTCTCGATGTTCGCTATACACCCCTAAAATATATATTTAATGTAGCTTCAGCAATACCTTAATAATTCTCAATGTCTCAATATCAATATTATAGTTTTAACGAATGCATTTTATCATTGCCAGGCATCGATGCCCCGCAGCAGTCATTTGTGTAAAAAATTTGAAACCAACGCTAGCTATATAATAAGTTTTAAAAGTTTTCACTTTGTATGGGAGGCAACGAAGAGATTCCACACACCCCTCAGTTTAGAGTTCCGTTTGTGCGCGTACATAATTCACTCGTTCTTTCAGTCGTCAGTCGTTTGCTTACACATACTTAAATACATACAACGGCACTGTGAACATACTTCAAAAGAAACCTTCTTCATCTGACATGATAAATCTGCCTTAGCAACCGGAGAATTCTATGCAAACGCATATATATATATATATATATATATATACATACACACACATTTATAAATATATGTATAAGTTTATCTATATATATGTGCGATGTGCACGAGTACACTGGATAGAATTCTTTGTGATTCTAGTCTTGAGTTTATATCAAAACTACAATGCACACAATTCACCACTCGGGGTCGTCCCTTGTTTCATTTTCTTTCCTCTAACGACCTGCTAAAACCTTAAGAAACTTGTTTTTTGTGTTTCTCATTGCAGCACTACGGCCAAAGTGGCAGCAACGCTAGCAGATGACCCTCTTTACACTCTTCTTCTGTATATGTATTATGAAAAAAGTTTTATGTACACCGAATACTGAAAATATAGAAGGTCTTTAGAGACCTTTTGCTCTGTGTAGTCGTGCACAAATAGAGCAAAACCATCTAAAAGTTTTTAATAACGTGAATGTAGTTTTCGAGGGGTGTAATTTTATATAAACGCGTACACATCCATGCATATATATATATACATATATAAACATATATATATATATATATTTTCGCTCTAGGTATGAGTAATTGGGTTACGATTTCAAATTACTGACTTTAGTAGCAATGGAAAAACACAATAATTAACCGAAGTGAAGATAGCTCACCAAGATAGTTCACATCTTTTTAACGGTCGTGTCTTTGCTAAGCCACCAATTTATAAAAATAAATAAATGAAATAAATATTAATATTAAAATATATTAGAAAACCAGCACATTTAAAACAAAGTAGACTTTCAACTATGATTAGAAAACCATAAAAAAAAAAACTAAGCCATTGCTATTAACGAATTAAGCAAATGCTATGCTTTAAAATGCGCTGAAATCTATTAGAAAAACCTAATTTCACTACTATTTGCTTTTCTCATCATCACCACTAAAATGGCCCCAAATATGTTCTCCCCATATACATGAGACGCAAAATTAATTATAAAAAATATTATCGAAGTGCACATAGTCGCCCAATTATCGATTGTCTTAGCATGGGCGCGAACCAACTATGCAGACAGTGCGCCTTTTAGCAAAGACTAAAGTGAGGGCGACGCACAATGCAGGTTTTAAGTTTTAGATATGAAAAAGAAGACCTATATATAAGCTTTATATAAAATACTGTTTGAATTAATATATATATATATACATATATATATATATATATATTTATATATATCAGATTTAATCGATTGAGAACTGAAATATTTACAACAATAGCTACAATCTTTATAACTGCAATCAAGCAAACAAAAAGGATTATGACTTTCTGAGCCGGGGCTGTGTATACACAGTTTGTCATATAGGTTGCCTTTTTTGATTTATTTTAACTTAACTTACTGCTGAATTAAACAAAACCAAATTATATTGAATCTTATAAATTTTACTTACTTTTGCCATTTTTCGTATTTTTTTTTTATTGTGGGAAATTGAAAGATTTATCATAACTAAGTCGTAAGATAGTTATATGATGTTTTCAGGTATGTTTACGTTCTTCGAATTTACTTACAAGTTCAAAACGTCTCACCGCTTAAAATCTGACATTTTGAAAAAATAAATTCAAAATTTCAATATTCAAATGAAAATAGAACTTCTTTTAACGGCCAAGTGTAAATTTGATACAAGTAAGCAATGATCAGCATTCAACTACTGGCCAAGAAACCAACCCACAAACACTAACATTAAATTACAATTTTTTAAACATGCTAGCTATAAACATGCTTGCTATATTTATAATTTGAAAAAGAATATTTTATTTTTTTTTTGAATTTCCATATTTTTTTTACATTACTCGATTTTAATAATTTTGCTCGAATCGACAACGCAAGTTCAAGCGTATAAAAGAAAAAAATGAAAAATTATTATCGCTCACAAGGTATTGCCATGAAAAAAAGCTTTGCATGCGTATTAGAACATGAATATAAAAATTTTTTTCATAAAAAAAAAAATGTAAACGCCATACCCTTTTGAGCACCCTTTCTATAACCCATATATAGATAATACAGCGTAAGAAATTGCTCATAAGCATGCAAAGTTAACCGATTAACCGGTACATGCTATATGCTACAAGTGCTTTGTTTTACCTCGTACGTAATGTAATATCAAAAAACTGAATGCATACAACACACGCACACCGTTTTTTAATTCTTACCAATTTTACCAATCAAATACATGTCGAAAACTGAGCTCACGGTAAGCCACTCACTAAGAATATTGCCAGAAGTAAAAAAATATATTTTTCTCTTTTATTAACGCATTTGGAAATTACCAAAAATCTACAACTGGTTAGTTTTTATATACTTGAGAATATGTTAAAAAATCTAAAAACTAGCTATTTTTTCGGCATGTGTAGAATTTTAATGCAGTCTGATAAAATTGTTATTCGAAAAAATTACAAAACCTTAGCTAAACGATAACAGTGATCTAATTTTAGTACGCAAAATAGATACCGCATATGAAATAATTGAATTAAAAAGTAATTTTTAATTTAATAGTGTTCGTCTAGGCAAAATATCGGGGCCGCCGTCATATTGTTAAACGGCGAGTTTTTCACGTGTAGTGTAAAGTGTATATATATATACGTATATATATATATATATATATATATATATATATATATATTGCACCGATATAAACTTTTTTGCGAAATAAATAGCTTGCAAATTGAGGATGGTACAAAATCGCATTTTGTTGCTTAGATATTTCTGTGACTATGTCCCAGTTTTTCGCCAGACGTTTACTGGCTACGTTTGAGGAACATTTGCTATGCTTCGTTATATTCAAAGTTTAAAAACCTTCTGATTGCGAAATTTTCCATGAGACCTGGTCGATAGCAGTCAATCTTGCCTATACATTACGATTTATACAAAACGGAACATTATTCTGATTTTCCCATTTTTTCTTTATAGAAAGAAGACAGTTAAAAAGCGCTGGCTAGTGTGAAAAAATACGTTCAATAAAGAATAAAAGAATCAAAATGCCAACGATACGACGCTGTTGTATAGTAGGATGTATGTCCAATTCCCGTCAAAATCCTCAGCTGCAATTTTTCCAATTTCCGAAACCGGATAATCCATTTTATAAGATGTGGACCCATGCTTGCCATGCATCATTGAGTCGCATATTGCCTTTTAAAAAACCAGTTGTTTGCGCTTTACATTTCCATCCGCATTGTATAGGAGGCAGACGTTTAACGGGCAGCGCAGTGCCTACACTTAAATTGGAAGTACCATCAAATTTGAAAGCAGTAGAACAACAGGCCATGGTTGAAGAGATCGAAAGGAGCCGCAAATGTGCTTACATCAATGCTGTGGTATACGAATGGTTGGTGAGAGCTAATCTCAATCCTCAACTTCGTGGCTCGATAACGCACGGTATGATTAAGGAGAAAGCGGAAACGGCCAAACAAATTATTGGTTGCGATACTTTTACTGCAGACAATCGATGGCTAAACCGTTTTCGTGAATCGCATTTGACTGGATTCGCTCAGAAATTGGCTTCCAATCAATTAAAACCTATGGGTCCTTCATTATGGATACCGGATATTGTGCAAGATTTACAACATTTATTTCCACCCACTAGTGCTGAGCGCATTGAAAGTTTTGAAAATGTACCCGAACAATATATCAATTATATGAAACAATACGGCGAATATGAGGAAGAGGAGGAGGTAGAAGGGGAACAAAAATATAATGAACATGAGCAAAGCTATCAACAACAGCAGCAACACCAACATCAACAAACCTCCCATAATTATTATAATCAACCAAGCGGTTACGATCCATATGGACAGCAACACCATCATCATCCAGGGCCGCCAACTGGTTATAATGCTTATCATGAATACTACAGTCACCAACAGCAACAACAGCATCATCACCATCAACAGCAACATCATCAACATGCACACCACCTCAACAATAGCTACGGTCATAGTTATCATCATACCCAAACATCAAATGTGCCACCTTCGCATACACCGCCACAACCCCAGCCGACATTACTCTCACACTCCCAAACTCCTCCGCTTAATGAGACATCACGACGTGCTAGTCCCTACCCTACCCAAAGCAATAATGTCAGCAATCCGCCTAAAAGACGACGAACCAACGACACCGAGCCTAATGAACAAAGCAATGGGGCAAATAGCCCGCCTTCTCTTAACGGTGTACGCAATGATCAAGAAATTGAAGATCTTACGGATGGACCTGAAAACAATGGTAACAATGACCTAAACCACTCCAACAACACTAACACCGTCACCTCCGCAACAAACAGTAACAGTAACAACTATCAGAATGAAGACAGCCAAAATTATAAAGTGAAGCTTCCATTACCGGCCACTAATGGGTCGAGCACACCGAAAACAACACTAACCAATGGCAGTAATTCTGGTTCAAATTCACCCAAGTCGACCACTAATGAGGCAACAGCACACACAAATGGCCACAGTTCAGCGTCACCGACACCCAGCACTTCCACGCAAATTAAAGAATTGGAGACATATGCTCAGGCCTTGGAATATCTGAAACCCTTGGAAGATTTCGCTCTATTTAAAGAGAATTTCCGCGCGATTGGCTTAATATCACAATTAGAAGTGATATTACGTAAAGGAGATCGTTCCGGCTTGCCAAATTTAGCTGAATAATTGCTAAGTAAATTACTACTAAGTAAAAAAAAAATATTTTACTTACTCAAAGTAAAATGCTTAGAATTAACTAACCATGCAGAGATTTCCTTTAGTATTGAAATTATTTTTTAATTTATATGTTTTTTTTTTTTTTCTTGTCTAAAGCTAGTTTTGAAAGGAGAGTATTCAAAAAATGGTATTAATTTTTGTTTTGTTTTCTTTTCTTGTTTTTAGTTACGATAGCCTAACAGTTGACTGATATTTATGACTATACATATATATATATATATTCATAAAATTATTAAAAGAAATGAATTTTTCTGTATATTAAATAAAATGAAGCCGAGAACAAAAACAATCTAAATAAAATACTTATCTTAGTTTACCATTAATTTTATGTACATAAATACTTAAGAAACTTTTAATAAAATAATAAATGAAACTACTTGGCAATCTTTAAATATATTTTTAGCTCCGATCGGGTTTCATCTGAATGAATTTACAAGACTCTTTTGCTTAATTTACTCATTACGGACAGCATTGCTGGCAATTTTTGCCTTCCTCCATACAATTTTCAGCTCCACATATCGCTTGCAGTAGAGATAACTTTATAATACGTTGTTGCTTAAGTGATAAACATCGCGTCTCTTTGAAAAGGTAATCGAAAAAACTTATCAAATCCTTACTGTCCCCCGGTGATAAGGGATTTATACCTAAACGACATAAGCATTTCACTTTTATTTCTATCGGTGTCGTTACATTAACGTTCGAAGGATGGCTTTCATTTCGTGTAAGAAATTCTGATGTTATTTCTTCGAGTACTTTTTCAATCCCTATATCGCCCGATTGTGAGTCCGTCACTTCTCTAGTTACCGTTTCTATTGTTGCCTCTCTGTTTTGTTTCTTGATAGGTAAGCCGTTTTTCATAATTGAGTTGCGCTTTAGATCAATTTGTTTATTTAAAACGATGGCCGGTGCTGCTGAATTTTCAATCGGCATTTCAACTACTTCGCTTAGTTCTGATTCCCTTTTTTGTATAGATTCTACTAATAAGTCACTTTCTGAGTGTTCATATTTACATACAGTAACACCTTTCAATTGGTTTTCATAAGGAAGATCACTGGTAATGGGCTCATTTTTAACACTTATATCTGAGGACACGTAATTAGTAAAAGCACTTATCGCATCTATCTCATTAAATTCTTTTTCTTCCTTTTTAATCGCTACGGAAAGAGACTTTTCAAAGGATTCCATTGTGTATACTGCAAAATAAAAGAAATCATAAAAATACAAATATACGATCAATTAAATACGCACCTTGCAAGTGACATCCTTCTCGTCGTAGTCAAGTGCAATAACAGTAACTAAAGTCTCGCATTTGTGTTTACTTATTTAACGTATGAGAGCGTAAATTGCAATGCATATATTTTCACATTTGCAGTAAACAAACTGGAATCAGCAACTAAAAATTTCTAAATAATTTTTATAAACAATGAAAAACTTGAAGCTTTTTTTTCGAAAGCTTAGAATAATTATATGAGTTTATCAAATCTGAGAGAACAAATTCCTACATTAGTTAATATCATAATAATAATTAAGAATATCCAAAATTGCAATTAAATTTGTAAAAGAAAAATAAATATATTTTTGTTTAAGAAATTGTGCACTACACGTGCTTGGCATTTCTTGTAATATATGCATGTTCAATGCTTTTACGTTGCAATGCGACCGATTATTTTATAAAATTTTAAATGATGGTAACACTTTTCTTATACAATATTATTGTTACAACTCTTTTCATGCTACATTATAGAGATTATTTAAGATTAGATTTGTAAAGATTTTTGATTTTGTTAATATAATATTCTTGAATTATCGGATTTTACTAACCCAATTACAAAAATACACAAACGCTTTTCCACAAATAAAGTATGTACTCAAAGTCACTCAAAATAATTGCATGTTGCAAAAAACAGGGATGGCTCTTAGATTTGCAGCTCAATTTGTAAATACCAATTGTAAAATACGTATGTATTCTTAATCAGTGTGGGATTGGAAATTAATTTAGATATTGATCTAGAACTCGACGCGAATATTTATTATGACAGTTTGACATTTCCGCGTGAAGTTGAATGCGAGCTATATTGTAGTAAACAAGCCATCATGGTGGGTATAAACCTAAAACTTTGCACAAATTTTACGCAAACCTATTTAAAAGAAGAAGGAAAATATCTTTCAAATTGATTAAAAAGTTAAATAGATTTTGAAGCCCAGAAAAAAATATTTTCTCTAATTTTTTTCAAATATAATAAAAGTGTTATTATATTATTCAAACTTTTAAGCATTTAAAGTTAATTTTTGTAAAATTTTTAGTCCTGGTATGTGAAGTGGACACAATACCTCATGAACTTTATGCCAAATAATATATTTTACTAGGTAAACATGGCTTGTCCTTGAATAAGAAGATTCAAAAAAAAAAAAAAAAAGATTGAATCAAGGCAGGTTTATATGATAAAAAGTGTAATTTTCAAATAAATTTGCATCATGTAAAGCCTTACAAAATACCTAGTGATCACAAAAAAAATATCTATTAGAAGAGCGATTTATGAGAAATCGTTTCGACTCACTTCATAAATAAATTTCTGAGAAAAATTCATTTAAAATATCAAGAAGCGGTAGGGTATAAATAGTAATTGGGACTTCCGGGGAATTTCTCTTCTGCAAGTTTGTACCGATTTACTTGAAAGGTTTGTAAATAAAATATTCTTAAAATTTTATGGGACTAGATAAAGCAAAAAATAATCCGTTTTTAAGATATTAAAATAATCTGCAATTTCCAAGCTTTAATTTAAGATAGTGGATGTCAAGCCGTATTCGAGCCGTAGCCAAAATGATTTTCTTAACCGTTTCTTAGCACTTTGACGTTCGCTTAAAATCAGTGAGAGCTTTCAAAAACATACTTCCTTTTTTTTCGTTTTATAGTACTATAGGAATAAAGAACTGCTATAGACGACCATTGCGTTTGCTTGTAGATGCACACGCCGTCATTTATATCAACGAGCTGAAATACATTTATGCAAGCGATTGCAGTAATGTTAAATTATATTATTTTTCTCCCTGATTTGACAATCTAAATGTAAACAAATGTATGCAAAATATTGTCATGCTTTTAATCCATTAAATGCATATTGTTGCCAATTGTCTACATTCCAGTTCTATTTAATTTTAAAATTAAAAATAAAAAAAAGTGACCACTTTTTTTCTGATAAAACCTAATTATCAAAAGACGATATAAATTCTTCTTCTGATATATCTTCTTCTTAGACATCGCTTAGATAAATAAATAAAGCACAAACTCTTTACCAAATTACGTTATCCAGTTATTAATTAAATAATGATGAAAGAGGTCAATAAAAAAAAAAAAACATATTTTTAAAAAAAAAATTTTAAATTAAAAAAAAAAAAAAACAGTACGGTAAGCAGGGAAATTTCTTCCTTGAATTGAATGGAATTGAAATAAGAAAAAATGTAATTAAAAAATGTCATAAAAAGGTTATAGATACTAAACATTTTTATTTATATATTATAAACGCTATCAAGAGAATTTGTTAGACATGCGCACTGTATGCGCACTTACAAAATTTTAACCATTGCCTCAAGCAAACTTCGCCAATTCTATTCTATTTTACTGGCTGGCTATGGCCAAGTCTCTAGCCCGGCGATTTACTTATCATATTGTATACAGAAGCCAATGATTGGATGGATACTTTCAATATTTAATAAAGCTAGCAAGCTATATATGTCATATGCCTAATAATTTGCTCATATTGAACAACTACTTGTGGTATAAGGACATAGTTAGTTTCTGCAAATGCAACATCCATAAGGACTTTGGATAGATTCACCATTTTTTACACCAATCGATTCCGAATCGCTAAGCTTGTCGGTCCATCTATCTGTCTGCCTATTTTGTTATTTTTTTGTGCAACAGTTGGAAGCGGATTTTAGTCCTATATTAGAATTTGAGATCCTGCAGAAAGATTGGGATTAAATGCAATTAGGATAAGAAGTGAAGTAATTGTATTGGATCTGTTAGGGTTTTCTGAAGTAATTTTTTACTGCACATATCTGCAGTTCAGTGCTCTTGGCACAAGTAACTCCATATCTTTCGAAGAACTTGTATCATATCTGATGGAAAACCGATTATCGAATGTGAATGATATTTGTTTGCGAATATAAAGAGATAACTGCAGATATATACATAAACTTTAAATATCACTTGCGGGCTAAGGTTCATCCGGCACTGATTTCTCACAATTATACTCTTAATATTTCCTTCTAAGTAGAATGTTAAGAAACTGTCACTGTCTGTATTGATTAAAGAAATGCTTTCATATAAATTTTCAAACAAAATTGCTTGGATTTTAAGCAAACGTAATGAAATGAATGATTTTCTATCAATAATAATAATTAATCCTTTTAAAAACTTTTCTACCGAACGACTTATGTTCAATCAATCAATCAATCAATCAATCAATCAATTCTTCAAGGCGGTAACCCGTGATTTGATTTGGTTCCCATCTTCTATATTAACAGAAGGTATCTCCGTGTAATTGGCTTTCCAAAAATTGTAGTATACACGGATCATCTTTGTACCACAAGTGGTGTAGGGTATAACAAGTTTCTGTGTAGACGTTGGTAACACTCAGAAGGGCTTAAGATAGACGCATCTTATATTATACCGCTCGATTCAGATTAGAATCTGATTTACAAATATTTTCTGAATCGATCTGCATTCTGGTCTGACGTTTGTCCATGTAAATTTGTATTCAAACGACAGGTCGCGGGCGTGCATTATTACCAAAACGAGTGAATAACTAACTGCCTTAGGCTATGGTATCCAATAGTCGGTCTTGCCCGACTGTTACTGTTCTTAGTTGGTTATTTTTGAATTTTTAGGAACGCCCGTCTCAAGCAATTTGCCGTTATTTCCCAGTTTATGCGTCATCTCGTACTTCTGTCGTTTTTGCAAAAATTGTGATCGTCAACTTGATAAAGAAATCGGAAATACCAGTGAAATACAGTTTTCCCTCCAATATTATTAAACTCTCAAAATTCTTCTTCTTCTAAATTCATTACTTCTGTGGTTTAGTTGGAGAAATCTTCTGCCGAAACCCACGAAACAAGTTCAACGGCTTAAGACGATGCTGCTCCATGAAATCCGAATTGTCAGTTTTGGATTCAACGGTTTAAAACTGGTGACACGAATTGACTGAAAACGCCCCTTTTTGACGACTTGTTCCAACAATTGTCCCGAATTCATTGTTGCAGTTGGAATGGGGAGTTCTGCCATACTCAGCATACTCACCAGACATGACAACTTCTGATTATGACTTGTTTAGCTCGGTACAGCATGGCTTGTGTGGCACGCGGCTGAACAATGGCAACAATGGATCGATGGATGGATCGCTGCCAAAGCAATATAAGTTCCTTCGACATGATATCGTCATGTTGCCAAATATATTGAAAAATGTTGTAGAAAATGATCGAAACTATTTTGATTAATATATATATTTTGCACAATGAATGTATTTTTCAAATGGAAAAATGATCAAATCATTTGCAAATAACTAATATTTTAAGATTTTGAAATTATGATCACCGTTTCATAGATTGGACAAAAAAGAGAAACACAAACAAAGAGATTCCTCTATTACGAGCAACTTCAAGAAAGTTAAGTGCGCGATGAATAGGAAAATTATATCTGTGATATATAAGCATCTTGCGTCTTACTTTAAATATATTTCTTTCCATTATGTACAAACAACAACAACAACAACAACAAATCCACATATGTTGTATGGAAATTTTTCAATTTCAATGCTTTCAATGAGGTTTCGAAATCGCGATCTAAGAAAGAGGAAATTTATTTATTTATTTATTTTTTTCTAATCACAGGCTCAAAGACTCATTAGTCTTCGATTCGAGTACAATTTAGTGAGTATGAGAGGACAAAAATGTAATTTTCAACACAATTTTAAAGTTATAATTGTGATTTCGTCAAACGGATGCGGCGAAATCGATTCTATCAGTCACGTTAATGAAAAAATTGTACAGGAAGCGATGGCATATTAATTTGATAACTGCTTCGTACGCAGGTTTTCTGCAAAAAAAAAGGTTATCTTTTGTCCCATTTCATAGAATAGAAGTTTTATCCGGCTTAAGTTTACCTAAATTGTGTTTATGTCTGCTGTATACTTTATGTAATTATGCATTACATTGGGGCATGGCCCTTGATTTAATCTTCTATGAAGTCTTTCATAAGAAGTAAGAACAAGTCGGGCAAAGTCGACAATTACACATCCTACACCAATATAGGTATTGACACGTTTTGATAATAATACACCCCAGAAATTACAAATTGCTTTTAATGCAGAGGCATAATTCTCATGAAAGTCCATATGTTGAAGAATGCCCAGAACATAATATGGCCGGCAAACTTAATTTACTTTGTAAAAATTTTTTTATAATTTTTCAATTTCCATCCAAAGAAAGTACAAATTAGGGCTTGCTTTTCATAATAGAAAAATGGACCTATACGATACAAATTCTGTATGAGAGAATTCAAGATATTTCCCCAGCCGAAACAAATTTGCATACCAATTTAGAATGTTCAGTTATAGTTGTAGTGCGTGTTTTGGCGAGAAATTTTATAAATTACGGATTTCTGTTCCACATAACGATTTTTCAAAATGAGGCGTTATGTGAGGAGTGATCGGGAAAGTAGAGTGATCCGAACCGAAGTTGCAATATCGTTCGTCTTTGGGAAAAAGCACGTTAAAATTTCCACCTGTGAGTTGAACACCCGAAAACAAGACGGACAGGCGGACAGACGGACATGGAAGGTTTTATCGAATCAAAAAGTATCTCTGAATCGATCGATACGATAAAAGGTGAGTTTATCTCAAAAACTTTTCGGCGTTGCAAATATCCGAACAAAATTAATATACCCTTGTACCGTGCACAAGTGGTGTAGGGAATAAAATTTCACTATATGCAGACGTCTACCATATTAATCGTAGCGCTGTTGCATTTTCCTTTTTCATCGAAATGATAAATTCTGTGATTCGATCGATTTTTTCACTTTCTTACTCACTTTTTTTATCTCACATTATTCAAAGTCTATTAATAAGTTAATTCTTAGTTACAGGGATTTGTTTCTTAGCTGTTACATCTAATATCTAAAATAATAATAATAATAATAATAATAATGAAATTCTCCAGCAATACAAAGCTTTACGATTTATTTATACATTACATACAAATGTGTAGTGTAAATTAATCAAACCATTAAAATAGAAATGCTGCATATGCGCAAGAGAGGGAGAAAAGAAGTGAGAAAGTCTTGTAAAAATGAGAAGAAAAAAATAAATAAAATAAAAATCTTTCTATAAATGGCTACGACTGTTACGACTATGTTTTCAAGCAAGCAGTTGTAATAGAGTAAAGTTCTTTATGAATGCGAAACAAAAAAAAAAAAAAATGAAATTTTAAGCACAAAAGAGAGCAAGAGAGTAATTTGAGAAAAATTTGCTATGCGCATTGTAAACTAACGGCATAATGTATAATACGAGCAGAAGCTTGCAAAAATGAATTCAAAATAAATGTTTTGTCAACTCAGTGCAATTCATTTATGTGGAAACAACCCTCTCTCCTCCAAGCCTTTAATCAAAAACTATTGCACTTATCAGTGAATGAGTTCATGAAAGCAAGTTAAAAATTATAAATTTAAGAAAAAAAATAATAAATAGCACTGAACCCTCCAAATGACCGTGAATGTAACTACATATGTAAGCGTTTATATATATATATATGTGGTTACGGAGAGTATTTACAGAAAAAAAAAAAAAAGTTGACGGCGAGAGTTAACGGCACCGGCGCAACACAAACGCAATTTCCCTTTTCTTTCTACTTGATTGAGAAATTCTATTGTAATTTTGAGAAAACGACGAAATGACGATTCATTGATTTTATTAGGCGACCGCTCCGAAATGCGCTAACTTTTATTCGTTTGGGCTGCGGAGAGTGTGCTATCCGTCATGCTCTCCGCTAAGCGGTGAAAAAAAATCGAAATTGTCGAGCAAGTAAGTACGACAACGGCCGACTCGGGTTGTTTCCGTTTTTAGACAAACGCAATGTTCTAGTTCATTATAAACCGTTGAAATTATCAAGTGTTGCGTCGACCGGCAATAACGGGCTAAATTTGAAACGAGCATATTTAAATTATTAAAGCGCAAGCATACATACATACATACATACATACATACATACGTACATACATAACAACGAGGGAGGAAGAAAGTGTTGTTAGGCGTACGTACAAAACAGACAAAGACTATATAAAAAAAAAAAAACTAAGAGTACAAGAGTACTCACATACCATACATACACAAAGTCTATGCGTTCTTTACAAACCGTTTGGAAAGAAAAACGAGTAGCAAAAAAAAAAAAAAATAAGAAAGAAGAAAGAACATTTCTAAAAACTTAAAATAAACATTACTGTTATCAGTTTTAAGGAAATTAAAAGCAACAACAATAACAGCTTTTACACATCATAAAAACCACAAATCATGCCTATGCATGCACTAACACGAACACAATTAAAATGTTTAGTATGAGCAGTAAAAGCAACATTTCTCTAGGCATTTCAACTTTATAATAAACAAAATAAAACAATAATTGCCTAATATTTCAATTGTCACTGCAGTGTTTTGTGCTAATTTTGCGCAAACATTTGCAAATTAGAATTTACTCAACAAATTGAAAACGAAAAAGAGCGACAACAACAATTGCAAAAGCAAGCACATAAACATACACAATAACGGCTTGATATAATAATAATAATAAAAAAATAAATAAATAAAAAAAAACTTTGATTTTTATTTGAATGTTTTTTCGAGCGCAACTTAAAACTGACAACGTCATGAAAACTAATATAAAAAACAACAACAACATTAATAATAATAATAATAACGATAATGCAAGCAAAAATAACAACAATAATATTGATAGCAAAGTCAACATTAACCCCAAGGTGAGTTGTAGTACTCCATACAGAGACGCGTGCACCCACCAAAGTTAACTATTACGCCTTAATATATACAAGATAGCATCGTTACGGATGAGCGGTATATGAGGAGTATGATGAGGTGCTGATATCATGTTATTGCTTTTTGTCTATCCGAGACTGCATTATAATCGCTAGGCCGAGATAGAGAGGAACTTTCTTATTATTCTCTTTTTGGTTGCCGTTGTGTGCGTATCGAGATTTCTTTTTTTATTTATTTGTTTTTTTTTTTTTTTTGTTCTTTTTTTTCCTTCCTTCCTTAAAGTGCGCCGAATCAGTAATCATGCGTTACTATCAGCATTTTTTAATGGTTCACACTGCTTAGATAGACCCAACGTGAATCAATCACCATGCTATTGTAAAAATATATTAATGCACATTCCCGTACATATCCCGATATTATATGTGCTCACACACATATACATACGCATCAATGTAAATTAATTATTATGTTAACATTAAAGTGAACCGAATTATTTGCGCGTGCACTTCCAGTGCCCAAGATGAGCGCCTATTAAGAACAGCGATGTAAACTTATTTCAACTTTTATGACCACCATCATCAAATAGTAAATTCTCTCTTCCAATCTCTACGTCCAATAAAAGGTATTCGTAAAAAAAAAAAAAAAAAAAAAAAGTCATCATTGCATTCAATTTTTCTTACGTTTGATATTTCAGAAATAGATAAACGCGCCTCTCCCTAGTACACATAAATATTTACACATTTGGGCTACGTGATCGGAGCCCATGCAACAGATTTTCAAGAAATCAAATGATCAGATTGGAAACAATATCTTGCAATAAAACATGTGCCTTGTAGCTATTAAGGCTTGCCATCCTATCAAGTCAAAGGATTTGTCATACATATGAACCAAATATGTCAGAATAGACTTGAAAGCTACGGTCGTTCGCAATATTTTTCCCCTTTAGGTTTTACAAATTGATTCCATTAAACTTATATAACATAATGTTAACAATAATGGTAATAATAACAATACCAATGATGGAAAAATAATACCAATAACAAGAAGAAGAAGAATTTAAAAGAAGCTACATTGGCTTATAACGAAACCTCATCAAGCGATTCCTCACCACTTCAAATAGACGCATAAGATTGTGAATTATTTACTTAAAGCAAGGGCGGTCGAAACTCTTCTACATGAACCCTTTAGAAATGAAGATATTTCCGCGTTACAGATTAATACCTATTAGATAGTTGCATGTATTTTGAAAGTTTGTTCACTTGAAAAACGCATTTACTGTGGAAAATTGGTACAATATAAATCGATCAAAATATTTTCCATCTTTTGTTACAATATTTTATCATATTTTTGGTAACATGACGATATCGCGTTGAAAGAACTTGGGCAGCGATCTAATCGCATCGGTCAATTTTCGAACTTCTTCTTCTTCTACTTTGCAGGCGCGCGTGCAAGTCAGGCCATACTATATCGATGTGAACAAGTGGTAATCAGGAGACGCCATGTCTGGTGAATACGCTGGATGAGGTAGAACTTTCCACTCGAGCTGCAACAGTGTATCCTTGACAATAAGTGGCCAAAAAAATGATATTTCCATTGAACCCATAACCGACATTTTGGATACGATGGAGCAGCACCGCCATAAGACTCGGAACGTGCTTGGTGGGCTTCGGTATCAAATTTCTTCAAATAAATAACAAATGTAATGAAGGCCGAAAATGTGGTTTTGAGCGCTCCATGCGTTTAGCATCGGCATACGCTGAATAACTCATTAATATTAATTGGAAAACTGTTATGTATGGATGTACGGGAAGGTCAAAGCCATCGAATTTATTCGTTATGTACCGTAACATTTCCCATTTCCTTATCATTTTTCCCCTGTAAAAGTCGCCTATCAAAATATATGCAACCACCTAATGCTATAAATGGTAAGCTAGACCTTTCTTAGTTATTATGTCTAGCTTATGCCCATTTTCAAACATGATCTGTGAGCATAAACTAAAAATACAGATGTCTAAAGACAAATTTTCGTTATTTTTGCCTTGATCTTACAACGATCGGGAATATGTGTACTTTAAGCGATCTTTGGTGCTGACTTCAAACATACGATACATGATTTGTAAAGCCCATATCTCCCTTAATAATCTTAAAAATATCGAAGTAAAAATTAAACTGTAAAAAATATTAACTTTATGTATTTTTCAGAGCCCGAAAGTTGTTAAAGTCGTCTTCGACAATCGTATTAAGCGTAAAAATGTTTTAGCGCTTAATGAAAAAGTGGCCGCTATTCGTGAGTATGAAAAGCGTCCCATTTATAAGCGTATCGGACGTATGTTTCACTGTAGTCCCGATCAGATCAAACGTATTGTCCAACAGAAAGATGCAATTTTAAGCGCCTGGGAACAGAGGACCCGTAAACGAGATGCGAAAACGTTGGAAATGAAAGTCGTACGTGTCTCTATGTTAGGCAAGGCTGTCTATGAATGGATAAGACGCATGATGTACTATAAGGACATATTAATTACGGACGGACTGATACAAAAGATGGCTTTGCAATTTAAAAGTGCTATGGGCTTACAGAATTTCTTTCCACATCAGGATTGGTGCGATAAATTTCGCCAAATATATCAGGTTACAGAGACTGATAGTAAATTGTTAAATATCGGTTACACAACCGGTCACTCGGTCCAGATAAAGGATGTGATTAAAGATGTGCTATCTGAATGCTCACCGGAAGATGAAAAGCTAAAGGAAGAGGAGATCCGAGATGATAGGCGGGAACATGAATTTATTGAAAATGTAGACGGTATTAAAAGAGTGGAAAACAATCTCCGCAATCAGCAAGCGACAATTACAACCCAAGCTTTACCATTACCGCACTTACAAGGTCTACGGCAACTGGTAGCGCTACCTATACAAACAAATGGTCTATCGGGTGCAGGTCAAAAAGTTCTAGTCGCTACTCCTATAACTACAACCGGACAGCGAACAGGAGCGACACCTATGACAATGACAATCATTCCTTTAGCAACTATAGCACAATCTAACCAGTCCGTAAACACTAATTTAACCTCTCAAAACAATCTTCCTAGAGGTGCTGCCTCAAATAATACAGATATTCAACAAATTACAGTACCACCACCCATGACCGAGATAAAAAAGGAAATTAAAGAAGAACCCAAAGATTTAGACGGCGATGAGGATGATGATGATGATTTCCTTATGGCGGATACAATACAAATCAAAAAAGAATATCAAAGCGATGATAATAATGAAGAGGAACAAATGGGCGAAATTTTAAATATAGAAAATAATTGCAAACAGTTGAACATGGAAAACATTGCCGTATTGGAAACAAAAAACCGAACAAAAGATAACGATAAGCTGACAATAGAAGAAGAATCCACCAATGACTCTTTAGAGGATGTAGCTTTGGCTAAATTACAAAAGCGTATAAAAGATGAAAATATTACACACGCACAAGTAGAACAGGAACAGCAAATACTATCTGAAAGCCTACGATATAATAATAGTCCTCAAAGGATACCAGCTCATATTCCGTCTCTGCCGGCGCCAGCGCAACCGACACTTAGACCCATGCCTCCTTTAATTAAGGCGCCAATTATTAGCTTAAATACCAGCCATTTAAATCGTACGACTACAAATCGGCGTTTACGTTCCCAAGAGGATTACGTATCTTTACCGGCGATAAGAACTTGCTCCGAAGCTCGAACATATCTAAAATTGTTGGAGGATTTCGCATTAGAACGTGAAAGCTTCCGTTTAATTGGGTTAATAACAAGAGCTGATGAAGTCTTACGTGAATTAGATCGCAAAGATCATGGGTCCGACGAAGACGATGAAGATATTGAATGATTTTTTTTTCTCAATTTAAACGAATATATGTTGTACATATTAATCGATAGTTTTAGATATTATTATAAAATATGAAATTTATAAGATAAAACAACCAAAGAGTGTTAATTGTTATTTTATAGATTTAAAAAAAAGAAATTTTTTTAATAATTTAAAGAATTTTCATTAAAAATACTGAAGATTTATTCTCTTTCAATAACATAAAGGTAAGTAAGTAATGCTTGAAATATTTCAATTACATTATAAGAAGAAGCCACATATGCTTCTATTGATTAAAGCGTAAGTCTTTCTCAATACATTCACACGTTTTGTCGTTTAGCTTTTCCTTTTTTTCTTTTTATATATGTGAGATAGAAAAATAAACATTAATCAGCGAACAAGGGATTATAATAATAGAATTCGATTTAATTTATTTAAAACATTTATGACTCGAATAACGTGCACATGATAAATAGGGCTCTAGTTATGCGAATTGAAAAGAAATTAATTTTATTCGAAAAAATACGCGGTAAAAAGATTCTACTTTAGAACTTAATTCTCAATAATTCGAAAAACATGTATTAAACAATTGATATAAAAAAAAAAAAATAAATAAAAATATGTATTCATATATATATATATATATTATATGTTTTAAGAGGTCATCTTGTAATTAACGATTGTCTCCACTTTATGCAAACCCGTTGAAAATGATCGTAATTGTACAGCCTGAGCATTTTGAATAACAATAGCACCGGTTTCATCCCAACTCTCCGGTATATCACAATTTCGTAATGTATAAATCATAATATCAAAGGTGCAAATGCAATCCAATAAAGGTAAATACGTAATTGTTGCTGATATTTGTCGCATAACGTCGCGTATTTCGCTTTGTATACGCTTCAATTCCTTGCTCGATGTCAATTTGCTGATATCGCCGGTCTCACCGTCACCCAATTCGGGATGCATTTTAAAATCCCAACATTCCAATACTTCTTTGGTATGAGCATTCGTTATGACCATAGAGATTTTACTAATCATATTCTTCGCAAGCCATTCTAATGTATGATAAGATTTTTTTATAAAAATTTATATATATGTATATTGTGTGGATAGATAGGTACTTATATAGTATTCAAACAATGCTATTATTATTATTATTATTATTATTATTAGGCATTTAATGCACACTTACTTACTTACTTACCTTGCGTTTGATGTAAAACATTTCGAAGGAATTCTTCAATTTTAGGATCTCGAGATAAAAGCAATGTTAAACCATATTGTTGTGTACTTTCAAAGCTTTCAGCCGGATAAATTCCTCTTTGGAATAGTATCGAGTTTACACTAAATTTTAAATATTCTACTATTAACTGAGCTGAACCCTTTAAGGTGATGCAATTTTTCGTAGCTTGAGTGGTGCTCATATTATTGTCTTGGTATAAAGAATTTTCAAACTAAAAATGAAATTTATTAAAAACTCGCCAAAAAGATTCCGCGTTTCACATATGCAAACACAAACACTTAAACAAATAACAAAATCCTAAAAGTAATCATCTATTACGCGCAAACAAAAAATCTTGTGGTTACTTTTACTTCATACAGAGTTGCATTTTAAATGATTACTTCTTTTTTTTTCTCCTTTTTATATATACTCTGAAACTTGTCGATCAGCTTACAATATATATATATATATATATATATATATATATGCATTTGCGTAAACACATATAATGTATATAAATTTTATCAAGAAGTGCGGAGGCGGGGAACAGGTGGAAATAAATAAAAAGTTTTCAGTTCATTTTTACTTTAAAATAGCAGAAAAGAACAAATTTTTTTACTTTTG